TGAAGATTATATTTTGAAATGGGGAGGGCAGCTGGGAAAAAGGGAGCTAAGCCCTCCGTTAGTGTTGGGCAAGCACCGTTAACAGGCTCCTGACCAGCTTAATAACAGCTGGTGCGTGGGGTAGGCAAGGGATCTCTGACTGAGAAGACTGCAGTGTGACAGGCACCCAGCCAGCACTTCTAAGATGCAGGTCTGGCAGAAAGAGATGGAATCAGAGAGGGAAGGGAAGGGGACTTTTGAAAAATACAGGACTTCATTGTCAAGAACGGCCTTCAGCAGAAGAAAAAAAGAGAATGAGCAGAGCTATATATCCAGGCACAGGGTATTCAGGAGTGTCCTTTGCTTGTGTGTGAATCAAAGCCATGTCTTTCCCATCCAGGTGCAAACCTGTACTTGGCCTGTTCTTACAGCACTACCTGACATTGCCTGCAAGTGACAACCATGTGACTTAGTCCAGTTTAAAGCAACATCGTTGCCAGAGGGGATGTTTTGATCTATATGATGAAACTAAGCAAGCAAGCAATTTTGAAGACATGAGGATACAGAAATACATTTTCCAATGTTTTTGGTAGAAAATCCAAAATCTTGATTCAAATCGAGAGCATAAGTATCTACTTTCAGTGAGAAGCCATTTGCCGACTTAAACTAGACAACTACTACCAGTAACTACAAAGTTACTAAATATATCACTGCTGTATAGCCATATGTAAATATTAACCATGTGTTTACTCACCCTGACAATAACAGAGAAGAGAGACCTGCAGCCAGAAGCTAGGTTTACATAAGGATCCAAAAGGTATTCATGTATATGAGGATGGGGAAACAAGGACAGTTTGGACAACACTGACGTAACTTGTAAATTTACATCATAGGGCTGCAAAAAAAAGGAAAACACAGCGCTTAGTTATTTTCATGCTGGCTTCTTTTCATCCAGCCACTGTTTATTTTAAATACTAGAACCTTATATACAGGCTTATGAATAAATAAAAAGTTAGATTAAAAGACAGGCCCAACACCTCTGCTTTCCACAACAGGAGTGATGTGAATATGACAGTTAGGTATTAGATGTTATTATCCGTATAACTGCTACAACCATTTGAAGCATTTGCACACTTGTTTATTGTAGGTTAAGTCCTCTTCCTGTAAAACATTTCTTCAGCTCAGTAGCTAAACAAATAGCATAGAATCAGCCTAGGTTAAACATCTGCTTGCTTCTCCTAGATAACTGTAAAGTATATGAGCTCAGGAAATTGAGAGTGACAAATCCATGTTTACGGCTAATATGGTATTTCTCTTCTTCTACTTTCTTTTTTCTTGGAAAGAACCATTGCAGAAGGCCTGGTCATCTTGTGGCAGCATGCTGCGGGAGATGAGACAGTCCTAGGCTGGGAAAGCAGCATGAAATTCTGAGCTTCTTCTCTACCTCCTTTCCCCAAATCAACTAAATAGGAGAGGCAACACTGTCAGATGCTGGAAGATGCTAATCAGTCATAAGGGAAAAAATAGTACCTAACTTTCTAGGAAAAAAAATAGTGCCTAGCTTAAAGGATTTTACCATTCCAGTGAGAAACTCATTTCCATAAAATGGAAGCTTCTTTATGTTCCAAGTACTTTTTTTTCCATCTTTGGTTTTCTCATCACAGTGAAAACAAGCTGACATTTTAATTCAGTCCCAAATTTGCAAACCAGTGGAATTTCCTTCCATCTATTTAGTGGTGGAACAGACTACGTTCACAAGAGATGGACAGACATTCCCTTGGTACACCTATGCCAGTCTGAAGATGTTACCAACGTGCAGATGGTTTAACTTAACCTTGTTGATTTTACCTGAAGTGGGTTACAGGGCCCTCATTCAATCTCTTTGCATATTGGCAGTAACATCCTCAGTGCCATAATCACATCTAGAAGAGGGTGATTTCATGGCCTCAAATTATCATCTTTATGCTCTCAAGTTAGCATCCCACTGAAGAATCAGAGAACAGATTCTTCCCTTTTCCAGGCTGTAAGATTTGGAAGAATTCAACTTCAGATTAAGACAGATATATTTAGATATGTCTACATGTCTAAGCTCGCATTAGCCTACTCAACAGAGATCTGACACTTGATACACTTGCCTACACACAAACATCTCGTGCCATCTCAGATGCTCAAGCGCATCTGCTGGTGTCTTGACAGTTCCACAGAGGGTGGATCCTGCAAGATCTGTGTTGTAACTGCAAGCTTGTGGGAATATCTTGGGCATCACAAAAATGGCAACAGATACCTCAGTTCAGGCAACTGTCTTGAGCTTTCAGTCAATACAGCCAAGGAAGCTGAGATGGTGATTCACTTTGCACTAAAAGAGACACCTATTTGCTTCTCAGTCTAACAGCTCCAGAGACTACCGGGGTTGTTCTGACAAAATTCCCACTGACTAGATGTGGACACCTAACTAATATTTAGGTACCTTATTTCTGAATTCATTACCACGCACTGTTGCATCGCAAAGGGAGTTGTCTTACAGCTCTTTTGAAGTGAAAGCACCTATTTCTCCCAGTCAGTAGCAGTTATTTCTGTACTTGATATTCCAGCAATAGATTCATCCCAATCTTCTAACAAATGAAGCTTTCAGACCCTGGACCAGAGATGTTATAGGTAAAAGAGATCATTACATTTTGAGTTATTGTGGAAAAGCTACTCTGCAGACAGAGACACAAATTCCTTCCATAAATCCATTCCACTGTCTACCTAGCTGAACTGTAGGAGAAAGTGTTTGGAGTTGCCCGAGTCGGTCAATTCGTTAGGAAGCTTTGAAGCCATGAGCATTATCTGGTGTTCACAAGAAGAGAAGGAAACAAACTAGCAACATGTGCTGCATTGTTCAGACTGATTGCTGTTGCCATTTGAACTAATTGAGAGCATTAAGGAAAGCTGCCATCTTCACACAGACCTTTTATTTCTGTCCATATGTCAGCAGACTCAGTAAGACAGCCTTCTATCAGATAACATCCTAAAAAAATTATCTTTAACTAAAAAGCTTAAAACCAGCAAAATCTGCAGTTCAGGAAATTCTTACAAAATTCTTAGGAAACAGTCAGTTCCATAGAAATAGATAATATTAACACGGGGAAGGAGGTACTGTCTAGCAGATGAGGTACTGGATTTGAACAGCCTTGAAACAAGTTACTTGACTTGTGTGCCTCAGCTATCTTCTGTCAGAAACTAGGTTAATGACAGCTACCACCTCTGCGAAGTTTTCTGCTATCTGCTGATAAAAACTGATAAAAACACAAGAACTACCATGTATTGTGACAAAGCAAAAGACATTGGACACGATCTGTAAGTAGTACTGTGTCCCCACTAAAGGCTTTTCAACATTTTTCACTGTCAGGACATTAGCAGTCATTATGTCAAATTTGTCATTGATAGGACCCAGGTTTTGTTGTTTTGGGTTTTGTTTTTTTTTCCATGTGATTTATGTGTTTCAGTGTGAATAACCTCTAGGAATTTCAGTTTGGTTTTTAGGACAGGGTTTTCGTACGATATAATAAGAATTTACCCCTTCTGTCCGATTCAGGCAGTTCTTTTTAATTCTTCTGGAATCAAGAACCATTTTTGACACCACAGATCGTAACACCTTGCTTGACTAACCCAAATGTGTGTCATGCTGACAGGTAGTACATCAAAATAGGCACTGTGCTTCCAAGCCAGATGGAAGTTGTAATCGTATGTATCTGACACGCAGGTGTTTCTTGGGGAATGTAACTTGGGTTCTTTACTTTTTGTAATTTATGTGTCATTGCTCAGACAAGGTTTTCATATGCATGAGGCTTGTTTTTCCTAAGAGCTGACGATGCCCAGTTTTCTTCATGACTCTAATCTATAACCATTTCAGCTAGTGAAGTGTGCAGAGCATGTTTACTGGAAGCAAAACCCTGAGAATACACAATATAGCAATGGAAGCATTTGGCTTTCTTTTCTGACTTCCGAATTATAAAAGTTGGTACTCTTAAACATCCTTCTCCCCTGAACACTCACAGAGCTGACCTAGAGGCTACTACTGGCTTCCTGACATGTTTCCTATGCATTTACATGTTCAAATGGCTCTTGTCCTGCTTATGACCAGGAAATCTGGCACTACCACAGCTAATGGTTTATTCTGTAGATAGCTCCACATGCAAAACAGAAAAGAATTGTACAAACTTCTGAAACTGGTACTACTGCATTCGTAGCAACTCCACCTGGTATTACAGAGAGGGTAATCTAGACTTTCAGGGCTCGTTTTCACTAACAAGAAAAGTTATGTATCTTCTTGATCTAAAGCAGCAACGTTGACTTGACTAACTTAAGTCCAGAGTTTAGAGAAGGCAAAGAAACATTAAGTTTTAACACAGGGCAACCTCCTTTTCACCTCCCTGAGCCTTCACTTTGCTTGTCCCCAGAAAGACTAGGTCATGCAGGCTGGCTAAATACAGAAACAAACACACATCAGGAAAATTCACTTTCCTTAAATTCCTTTGTACTAATCTGGGTCTGACATGCCACACCTCCTTTTCAGAACAAGGAGCCAGTCAGATCCTATCCCTTTTGTTTGCCCTTGGCAGCTATACTTTTATTATTTGAAGATAATCAAACAGGGAAAAAAAATACTTTACACAGCAGATGGGAAAGGATACCTTCTAGAAACTTTCCATGCACTGATAACAGTTTTTTCTAACCGTGAAAAAATGGGGAAAATGTTAGCAGTGATACAGCAAGTTCTTTTCATCTTACACAGTGACGTAAACTGCTTCCTGAACAAGACTTCAGATTGAAGTTCACTGAAACGTGGCAGAAAGGAGCTTGACAGTATTTTGTTTACTGAAAAATGTACATGCTTTCTAAGTGTAACTGCTAGAAAATGAGAACAGAACCAGTGATGCTAGTACCGAAGGATTCCTAAGATACTATCTTACCCTCATCTTTTATCTTAAGGATATTCTTTTCTTACTCATCAATTTAAATGATATTTCTGGTCAAGAAAGCATTTAGTACACAAAAAGCTGGCTAACAAAAGTAAGAAAGTTTTTGTTCTCTGCTTTTGTTAAATTGACAATACTGATCACTATAACATCCTGCAATCTACAGAGACTTGCACCAAGGACATCGGACATGACACAATAATATGATGCTATAATAGACATCTGAGTGATGGCAATCCATGGGACTTAGCCCTTTAGTAGTGATGAAAGCATCAGAAATTGAATTCATAACCTGCTTTTTCTTACCTGATCAAGAATCCTGCCCATTCTTTCAAACAGGACTTTCAAGAAGTGTCCTTCAAAAAATGATGCTTCTAAATTGCACTTTTCCAAAGATCTGGGAGATCCAGGCCACTCCCACCGTAAGCAGATGACACAATAATCCCGGAACTAGAAAAAAGTAGTGAGGAAAACAGACTCAAACCTCCATGGAAACCACTTAATTTCCTTTTAATAGTCCATACACCTTAAAACCATAATCTGTAGCTAAATGATAAATCTAAGCTCAAAAAGAAAAGTAATTCTAAAGTAAACACTACCAGTTTCTATGCAGGCACCTCATTTTCTTCTTGCCATTCACGCTATTAGGGTAATTTCAGAAACGATGAGTGGAGAACAGAGCTCCCAAAAAGCAGCCGGGGCCAAGTCACAAAGCAAAGCCAACAATACACATTCTGATCAGGGTTCTTCTAAAGCAGGAATTGCATTCATATACATCCTTTTTGTCAGTACGTTACCACACTTTCACTGTATTACGTGTAGCTTATCTTGCTATCCAATCTATATTGCTCCCTAATTCCCAGGACAGGAAAGGCATGTGTATACGCAGGAGATGATACAAATGAAAAGTGCTTCAGGGCTTCCTCTTCCCTCTCTTTGTTTCCTATCACCCATAACAGTCTTTCTCAACCTCTGCCTCTGCCTCTGGTTTGCTGTGGGCTGCCTGATGTCTCACTTTCAAGAAATTATACCTTGAAAGGAGCACAGGTTATGGCAGTGAAAATAAGGAACATGGGAATAAACAGTAGCAAAAGAGAGACAAAACAGACTCAGAAATTCTTCACTGCATGTAGCTTACCTGCTTGT